AATACTGGTGACCTTGGGGCAATCCTGTAAAGAAAGAGTAAAGAGAAAGAAATGGCTAGACATTCTCTCACATCAGCCTCAGTCTCTGGGGAAAACCCCAAGTAACTCCCTGCACCCATTAACAGTAATATTGCTGGCTATCCTTTGTCCCCAGTTTCTTTGCGTCCTCTTCAGGAGAGGGTCTTCAAGGACAGGGTCACTCCAGTGCAGATATATCCCCCGGCCGCGGATAGCACTCTATGGCTCACCCAATGCACTGCACCATGCGCCAAGGTGAGCATGTAGTGCAGGATCCAGTGCCTGAAGTTCACGTTAAAGGCCAGCCTCACATCTTCAGTTTAGTAAAACAGATCATCTTCTGAGGTGATGTCGATTCAGAGTAATGTATTATACCTCTTCAATCCAACTTGAAGCTTGTACAGGCACTTATATTTTGCACCATTTATAGATACAAGGACATTACACAATAATAATATCAAAATATATTTTATTCTGGACCTCTTTCAGATCTGAATCAAATTACAGTTGTCAGAGCAATACAATGCAAAAAGGTAAATGGAACAGAAAAAATGTGTCAAAACAAGGCTAAGTGGGGTGAGGGACCTGGAGAAACTTTTGTGGAACCAAAATACATCAAAGTGTAATTAACATTGTCCAGGACAGTACAGAACACCAACAAAAGTTATCTGTTAGACACGTTATCATGAAAAACAATAAAAAGTATTTAACATGTACAAAAAAATGCAGTGGGCTGGTTCATGTTTATACATTGGTTAGTTGAATAGCACAAGAAAGGATGCAGACTTGTGACTCCAGTGCTGCTGATAGGCTCACAGAATTAGACCCAAACGATTTGTATTTTCACAAGCAGGAACTGCTCACAGGAATTGGAAGCAGTACACCAACATTTTTTTAGAGTATCCATAAAACATGTCCCTTGCTTAAACCCTGTATAGCTTTAAGGCTACACGATGTACTAAGCTTTATTAAATAAAAGATGACAGTTAACTGCGGTCTGAATTTGATGTGCCTTGTTTGTAAGGTTGAAAAATTAAAAGCATCACTGTAGGAGGACAATCAAAGCACAGGATGTAACTTCCAATTAAAATCTAACAGTAGGAGATACTCAGGCTAGAAACAGCTGAAGTGCTAAAGTAAGAAATAGCAACATTTCCCTATGATGCAGCAGAATTAATTTGCAAAGTTTTTCATAGTATTTTTAAACATTTAAAAAATTATTTGAGATATATATATATTTTTTACATTAGGTGGAATTAAACCGTTTTACATCAGCACGTAAATATATAAAAACAGTCTATTTAAAAGAATATGAAAAAAAGAATGGTGTTGCTCTGTTCCTAATTGAGCCAAGACCGTAAAACATTAATCCAGCCAATGCTTTTCAAACATTATCAAAACATTTGTGTCTATTCCTGGGAGCACTTGGGTCTATATTATTATTGCACAAATTTCTTTAACATCAGCCACATACATAGTCTTCTAGCAAAATTTAACTGCCAGGCATTTTTTTTTTCTTTTTTTTTTAAATCAGGAAAGCTTGTGAACATTGATCACATTGTAAATGCACATTAAAAAGAGAAAAGCAAACAAAAAAATAAAAAAATCAGTAAAAATAAAAAACAAAAAAACACAACGGTGCACTGTAAAGAAACAACATAAATGAACGGGTCAGGTGATGGTAATATTAGCGACAAAGCCCATAGAAGGAAGAATTTCAGTTTGTATTATACCAAAATATAATACAAAAATCAAGTTTAAAAACAGTCCTAGCTGTATTAGGATGAACATTTTTGAAGCATACAATGGGGAGAAAACCTTCAAATATATGGCTACTTTTATTTTCAGCTAATAAATGTACCAAACATTTTTTGATTTGACAGAAACGGTAACTCAATAAGGGCTGTTTATGTGTAACAGCTGTATACGCTTGTGATATTTTGTTAAGAGTGATATGTACATACAAGCCACCAATAAACAGACTTTTTGCACCACAAGAACAGCATATTATTATTACCTTTCCCTTACTAACCACACTAGGTCTGCTCTACAGAAAACATGTTGTCTTTGAAGGCAATTTACAATGCACTTTAATTACGGGAGCTGTCATATCAAAACACTAGATTTTTCATGTATTTTAAAGCGAGGCTGTGGGGAAAAAACAGCTATTGGCCATGGTAAATTGAAGTACAAGAATTGTAAGCTAATATTTGGTTCAAATGGACAATACACTTTTCTTCCAGTTTTAACAAAACCAGCTGATGTGTTTCCAACAACTATTGATACACAGTATAAAAAGGGAAAAGGTCCGCTGAAGGTGCCCCATCATCCTGCTAAACTACGGGAAGGGTGTTTAAGTGGACTTGTATCCTAAGGGAAACACCAAACCAAAACTGTGCTTAAGTATTGCTCCTTAAAGATACCTATGAAGCAAATGATGTATAATTTACATGCTAGTCACCATTGATGACCGCAGCATATTTGCCTGGCAAAAGATGAGTTAATAGGGCTGGTCAGTTCCATACAAAGAAAAAAAAATCCACTGGCTTCTCTACATAAGACAGTTTACTTTGCACAGGAAGGCTACTAGTGAACATATTCAGAGAAAAAGCTTCTAATAAAGTAACTGAATGACCAGCTTCCTGCTATGATGGGAGAAAGGTTTGTTTGATAACTATTAAAAGTACAGCTAAAGAAGAGTTCCACTTCAACATAGTTCTCTTAATAAACATTAACATTTTATTTCAGACAACGTATAGTAAGGAAAAGCTCTCAATGAGATTTCTCCTAAACAGACTAAAAACAAAAATGGAAGCTGCTTTTGGTTGGTCTTACAGGACATCTCATAATAGAAACATGTAGGCAGCTATTGTGGCCCCTTCTGAAAATACTAGCTGCTTGGCTGCCATGCTAATCTTTTTACATCAATACTTTTAGTTACGGACCAAAACAAGTACAGATATAAAACTTATTTGCCATGTGCCTGTAGTCCAGATGGCCATCATTGTCAGAAGGAGGTCAGTAATGGTTTTCTCCTTACTGGTTTCATGGCAGATGTTCTTTACATACCTAAAATCCGGCAGTTTTGATCCAGTCTGACATCAGAAGTCATTTTCTTTCTGCAGCAGTGAGCAGGTCCTAAATGCCACGGAGAACAGTGCCACATACTGGCATGGTGCAGATTCCCGCGAGCGCAGGAAAGCTTGATAAAACACATTGCGGGGGTAGGTTTTCATTGCCCTAGGCTGACAGAACATGGGTTAAAGGACACTGGGTGACATCCAACCCAAAGAGGACCAGTGCTGGATTGCAGATCAGCGAGTATGCAGGAGATAGTGCAGAACATTATGTGAGCACTACAACTACTGCAGAGCGATTATTTTTTATTTTAAGCTAGACTTGGAAACCTGTACTTCTAGAAATACAAAAGATGCCACTACTGACCACCTTCTGATAATGCAAGTTGCTTTTGTTATCTCTGGCCTTAAAAGTTATTGAGTCACTATCCTACAACTATCATGCAGCAGCTAGCAAAGTTAGAAGAAAGGCATTTAAAACGACTGAAAATACCAAAGCACAATGGCCAAGAAACTAGTATCTTCAAAAGGAGGGTTGAGCAAAGGCAGCCTTAGTATTTTCGCTGGACAAGGTTATTTTAACCAACGTTCAATGCTCGGTCTCTCCCCTACCACCTTTTTGTCAAAAAACACTATGGAGGGATGGCAGAGGGAAACAAAAGGAAAACTTTATGGTGGTCAACTCTTAGGTGTACATTCCTCAAAACTACAATTCTCGGTTAACCCATTCAGTTTCCAACCACTCTCCATCTTTCTTTGACAAAAACATATAGAGGAAATTAAAACCAAAACAAAAGCAACCCCTTAAAATGACCAACATTTGGATAACACTCTGTTCTGAAGACACCTGATCTATGAAGAAAATTGGGATAAAACGTGTTCATTTTCACAGTGTTTTCAACATCCTCTGCAGTACATTGCTCAGCAATTGCTCCGGTCACATAGATCTCTCTGGTCCTTGTGGTTGTATTCTCTAAATTTTCACAATAAAAAAAATTCTGATAAAAGGCTTGTGACAAAACTGCCATGATCAGTTCATTTACAATAATGTATACTTAGCCCAACCACCAGACCGTTTCCAAAAGCAGGGAACATAGCTCAACTATGCCGTTTAAAAGGTGGCAATCTTTTTACTAATATATATATATTTTATGTATGAAAATTATAAAATCTAACGGGGGGTGGGGGGAATAGCAGGTATTGAAACTATTCTGAATAGCAGCATGGAACTTGTATGGTTTTTGTTTAAACAGGTGCAGAAAACATAAGATAAATGTATAAATAATTTGCTCAGTCTTATATAGTACAGCCTAAAACCTGGATTAAAAATAAAGCCTAAAATAACAATTATACACGGTGAACCGCTTTACTCTTCCTTCTATGTTATTGATATACATATATATTGGTACTTTCTCTATGGGACATGAACAAAATATCTCTAACATTCCTTCAACAATGGAATTTATTTTTTTAAAAGGATGCAGATATGCCTGGTATCTCGAAAAGATGCTTGTCTAAAGGATATAAAGAAATGAAAGAATGATGTTTGTGGCAATGGGAAAAGTATATTTATTTAATAAAAAACTAAACTGATGGAGGAGGGTATTATACTCCTATCATAGTAGTGCACAAGTAAACCATAATGGGTTTATGGTCAAAAGCAACAAAGACACTTAAGTGTCTGCTGTCTGATCGTTATTGTTTGTGCCCTTCAGGTTTGGCAGAATTCTGTCCCAAATAAGCATTCGACCATGTCACCAAAAAATAAAATAAAACAGAAAATGTACCTGTAAGTAGTATTTCAGAGCACAATGTGAAACACTATGGACTTTATCTAATAACAAAGTACTTCTATGTAGCAACCCATTTCAACCAATCAGAACTCACTGCTTTTACAGGCCTAATACAGCCAAGTAGCTTATTTCTGATTGGCTACACAGCACTACTTGCCTTTGGACTAGGTTATTAAATAAACTCTCATTCATGTGCTGCAGGCAGTACATTACACCACAACATCTATCAGAGCTGTGTACCAAGGTCATTCGTCTTTCGATACTTGTGCGAAAATAGAGCTATTTGTACAAAGAAAAAGCCAAAAGGAAAAGAAATGTGTAAAGTTATTTGATACAGCCGTCAGATGTTTCTTCCTAAGCCCCACATATAATGTTTCAAAGCCACAAACTATTGCTCAAGTATAAAAGCCCACATTCTCTGTACAGGTAGACTGACCAGAAAATAAAACACAAAAGTAACAAGGACAGGAAAAATTAAGCACGGGAGGAGACACAAAAGGTAGTTGAATGTATTTTGACCACAATCTTCCAAATTTGGTACAATTATGCTCTGTGTGTGTCCGGTGTCCTCCTCTTCCTTTCCAGGTGTTGTGAAGAAATCAGTCCCCAGCACACAAACTCACCAGATGTGACAAAAAAAATTTTTGTCCTTTTTGAGGTGCCACAATTTGCAGATTTTCTTTTTTTTTTAATCTTTAAATATTTATAGGACTTAATTTCGGTTTGGCTGCAGTGGACTGGCCATGGTTAAATGGGACTATAGCAGTACATGGGTCAGGGACAGTCATTTTGGCTATGTACACATTCATAGTCGGTCCATGGCTTCCAACCAGTAGCGCTATTTTCGTAGGTCTAATACACAAACCTGCATTAGGAAAAAAACAAAAAGTAAATTTTAATACAAGTGAATTTACCATATATGTAAAATTCAGTGGTGTGCATACTAAAATAACATTTAATTTTAAAAAAATGAAGTATGTCTGGGCAAAATAAAAAAAACTTTGTGCATCTGCAATACTAGCACATTAAAAAAGCTGTAACTACAGAAAAACATGTGTTGATCTGCCAGCAATCTAGTATGCTCCTAACTTCCTGTTTTAGCCGACAACACAGTGCCTCTACTGAACAGAATTCCCTAGAAGTGTTGGCCCTTCTGGACATCCTAAGAACACCTTCCTCTTCCTTATCTCCATAATATAAGAGAGAGGAGTCCTGTAGTCCCACAGGAAGAACTTAGGCAAGACTGAACACACTGTGTGGGATTTCAGTGCAGCAGCGAACGGGTTGTCTGCTCACCCTATAAGTTATGAGCTACCTAGATTTCTAGGAAGACCAACAGATATTTTCCTTTATTTGCAGTTTTAAAAAATACAAAAAATGGGGAAATGTAAAATGTATCGCACAAAATGTGCTGTGAACAGTTTTATTTTTGTCTTAATATAGTTTTCAGGCAGCAAAAACACAAACATTTTACAGCAATGTGTTTCATGTAGTGTTGTATATAGGCTTTACTGCACCAGTTGTAACATTCAGGTTTTCTTCATTTTATCCCTTAATAAATTATGTTGTGTTTAACCAGTTGACATCCGCGGTGTTAAACCCCCTTCCCATCCAGGCCATTTTTCAGTATTCAGCGCTGCGGTACTTTGACTGACATTTATTCCGTCATGCAGCGCTGTACTGAAATGAGCGGCTCTCAGCACTCCCTCCCTAAAATTCCCTACAGAATCATATGATACCGAATATTTTTAAATATTGCAGGGCAAAGTGCAAGGACTGGAAGCATGCTGGGCGGCAGGGAGAATTTTTTTTCTTGTGCGCGAGAAAGATTCAACAGAATTAGGTGCAACTTACATGTCACACTTTTCTCCCGACAAAATGTTCAAATTCATCATCTTGGCTTTCTTTTGATAAAAGTAATCAATTTATTTTCCACACACTAAGGGAAAGACCTATGGAAATCATTTTCAAACTTACTGAACCATCTGATGCACTTGCTCCAACTTTGTCTCCTGCTGCATTCCAACAAACTTCAAATATGCCCCCTGTTCCCCGATAGCTGTGAACTAATGCACCCGTCTATAGAAAAAAAAAAGGGGGGGGAAAAAAAGTTCAAAGAAACATATTTCACTCAGAACATTTGAAATACTGCAACACTTTTAGCAAGGGTATTACAAACTGACTGTGGTAGCATTAACAATGTCTTCTCAATCATAACCCTCTATGCGTTCATCAGCTTCTACAGTGAAGCTAGACACTGGACCCCATACGTAAAGGGTTTGTCTTTTTTTTCCATTTAAATTTTTTTTTATTTGAAAATTGAAAGTGTACAATAAGGCTCCGCTGATCGCAAACTACATTGTAACAATCTTCAACATTACAGTTTACAGAAGTACAAAGAACACATGCAACAATGAACATAGTACAAGACATAGAAAAAGAGCGAGGACTTCCCAAGGCAGGTTCGGATTAATTCGTTCGATAGAACATAAAAGCACTACATAATACTTTGGCAGAAGATATAGCCCCGTTCAGGCAATAGGTACAGTGCATGGCATGAAGACCGTGGTTGAATATGGGAGCCATCTCGGGCTCGTATGGGTTTTTCTTTTTATACTGGGTCTGCAGACTATCTGGGGGAGGGTAAAGAATGGGGAGCTTGATGCTCCAGGGTTCAGCTTCAAGTATGCAATAAACAAAATTAAAGACCAACCTCGGCTAACATTGTTTAAGCCATTAAAGCAATAGATTTCCGCTTTGAAAAAGATTGCACCCATATGAAGAACAGTTGATTACATTATATGGTTTGCCCAAACATGCTGAAACTGATGGGCAGAATCCAGTGCCTACTTGAGGTTGCACCATTTATTAAATGAAAGGCAGGAGACAGGACTTAGCACCAGAAGAGACATGGGCCTATGTTGACTGGCAAAACACTACTCAACCAAGCCAACAATGCCAAGAGTGGTAACCAGAACTGTCGAGCCTTGGCAGTGATCTAAAAAGATTACTTGCAGCCATCAACATGCCCTTATCAAGAGTCCAAGACACGTTACCGAGATCCATGGCCTGCCAATGTATATGCAATGGATATTAGTTAAAGGTCTTAGTGGGCCTATATAGCACACGACGTACCAAAGCGTAGTTATGTCCTAGTAAGCAAAGACTAAGTTAACTAACCAGTTTTAGTGGACTTTATAAGATTTCTACTATTTTCAAGGAAAAAAACAAACTATAAAGCCTTGTAGAAAATACCTGTGTATTCCAGATGTGTACACATTTGTCAAAGGAACCACTGGCCAGGTACCGGCCATCCGGACTAAAGGCTACACTGTACACGGGCTCTTGATGCTTAGTCAGCGTGTGAATGCAGATTCCCCTTTCTACATCCCACAATCTAACCGTAGAATCAAACGATGCACTGTAAAAGAACACAACATTATGTTTATGTTGCAGTTTAACATGACAAAATTGATGCTGCTATGCAACAAAAACACAACTTACCTTGCTAACATGAGATTAGCATTCGGATTACTTGTTCCCGGGCCAGTGGGACTCCATTTGATGGTATATATCTCTTTGTTGTGTGCTTGCAAGTCATGAACACAACTATCTTGCTTCATACTCCAGATCTGTGTTCAAATGTTGGAAATCTTTAGAATCACACAGTCATGACAACACACAATTTCTAGATACAGAATACCAACATAAACATTTGGATGAAAACAGTAAATTTATTTTAAGAGTTTAATAGTTGTAGGGGTCTGCTTTTTTGTAGCCATCTGAATTATGTGAAAGCCAATATACATTTTGTGTGCATGTAATAGATGCTTATATATTTCACCATGCTGATATGGGATATCAGCACAGTATGAAAGCCCCATACATGGATTTCTGCACCTTTGTGGATGTGGTACATACATGATTTTGAAAATCATTCAACATAAATGTTTAGGTTAAAGTTTACCTTTAAGGTCATGTCATCAGAACAGGATGCAAGGAGGTTTCCGGTGGGATCCCACTTTATTGCATTCACTTCATTCTACAAATAACAGAAACAATGACAGAATGACGTTAGAATGCAGAGGTAATATCAGAAGATTTTTGCCATTAATTTATATTCTAAGGGAAAACAAATATACATTGTAATATATACGGCATTGTAGCATATCCACAAATGATAAATTAAGCATTCTTTAACCCCTTCGTGACTGACGACGTACAGTGTACGTCGCCAGCATCGGGGCTGTTTAAACAGACTCCCGGCGACTTTTGCCGCCGGGAGTCTGTTTAAACTTGTAGAGCCGACTGTCGGCTTTACAACAGAAGCGATCCTGGCGACTTACCTGTCGCCAGATCGCTTCTGCGTCCCGAAGAA